TGAATTGATAGTTTGTGGTTCTCTTAATAGAGGTAGTTGGTAATAGCTAAGGTATCTGTTGTAATATATATCCAAATTATAGGAGTCTAGTGATGTTGATGATAATTTGGATAAAATTTCTTCTGTAGAGGTGCTCACCGTTTTATGCTCGGCTCTTACAGCTGCGAAGGATTCAATAGTCTGCCATGTGCGTTTGGTCTAACCGTCGTTATACTGGACCTCCGTGTTTTAATCTGATATATGAGTATACACAATATACTGATATACATAAAAAAAATTTTTACTCATTTTGAAATTGCGATAAAAAAATATTGATTTTTAATTTTTTTCTTAGTAAAGCTAATTTAGTTAGTGCTAAAATCTGTATATTTCTAACATGAAATTTCTAAAAATCAAAATTACAAGTTTAGCTTTGCAGTATTTAAAATGTGTATTATTGCTAATATTTTTGTGTATTAACCAGCCGATTTGAAAATCTATAAAAATAAAGTTATAACAGAATTTTTTATAAAGTTTTAAAATTTGATACACTCGCAACCAGCTTTCTTACTTTGCAAAATGAAGCAAGGTAATTTTGTTAGTACTTTAATATAATATTTTTATTTTAATTTAATGTTTTTTTAAAGGGCGTGTTATAAGAAGTAACTCTAAAGACAATTAGCATTAACTATTGAAAGTTTGAAAGAACGAATTAAAGAACTAAAAACAGATTTACAGATTTCTAATGATGCAAATATGAAATTAATCAAAGATAATAGAAATATACTTGCTGTAAATCAAAATTTAAGTGAACAACTTCAAACTTTAACTGATGAAGTGAGTATTAAAATTTGGATTACATATTACTTTATTAACGCTTATTTGATAAATGCAATACTTTACCAACAATCAATTCACCAACATATTTATTTTGCAAATAGTTAATTCACATGCAAGTTTATTATATAGACAATTTTTTCACTAATAGCTTATTTCAAAGAAAGTTTTTCATACAACCTTAACCCTAGTTCTAAACTAACCTTAATAACAATAATTTGAATTACTTTATTAAATAAGCTATTAGTAAAAATCTGTTTATAAAATAAGTATCAGAAAAATAAACTATCTATAATATGAACTTGTTAGTGAATCGATTATTTGCAAAATAAATATATTTATAAATTGACTGTCTATTAAGTATTATATTTATAAAAGTAACATGAGAAGCCTGCTAACAAAGTAACAGGCTGGTCATTATTGTAAGATCAGATGACTTTACAGTTTATCACTTTTTTCTATTTTCTATCTAATCTTTTATAGTTATTCTTCATTGTAGTAATTGTTCTCTTTAATATTTTGTATATGTAAGTTATTCCTAGTTATTAAGATGATTTCATATAATTATTTGAAATTCAAATTATTCACTATCACTCATCTATGAAGTCTGGCTATATTATCTCTTTCATTCCCATCTAGCACTAGATAGTTAAATACTATATATTAATATTGTTTTTTAATAGAATAAGACCTGATTAAAAGAACCTATTAGTAGTTTGGTTATTTGGCAAGTATAGTCAAACCCTCTATAGTCACCTCCTCTATAGTTACAAAATTGGTTTAACTACAAATTTAAGTTACACCACTTTACAATTATGGTTGTTTGTATCCTGAAGGTGTAACTATAAAGGGGTTTAACTGTAATAGCTATTTTTATGTATCTTATTAGAGTTATTTTAATACATAATATACAAATCTTGCTTATCTTCATCGAAGGTGAGCAAAATTTGTATATTATATTTAGAAATGATCTAATAAATACAGAAAATTGTTTTATTTGCAGCAGATGCTACATTATAATAGTGGCTTTTGGCCACTATTATATCTTAGTATTCTAATAAATAGTCAGTTATCATTAATAACAAGTATGTATTAAGTTGGCGTTCAAAGTTGTAAACACTTACAATTATTTATACTATCCTTAATATAGGTATAATGAACCCTATTCCTATATGTTTTTAGCTTTGTTTTAAATTAATCATCTCATCAAGCAATAATAAATGAAAATAATAGAATTAAATATTTAGAATAAGTTTTATTGAATTAATATTTTTTATTTAAATATTACTGTATTATTTAAAAGAAGAAAGTAAAGAAATTATAGCAAAAGAAAAAAAAAAGAAAAAAGGCAAAATAAAAAAGAAAGAAATTGATATGTTTTTATGAAGAAATGGAGTTAAAAAAGACAAAGCAAATTCTATTCTAGCAATTCTTGTGAAGATTCGCTCTAATGAACTAGAAAAAATCCAAATCAATATCTAAAAGATGAGTATAATAAGTCTCTAGACAAAGAAAAATATATACACCAAATTAAAAAGGAGTTATTTAATAGAAAAAAAAATGACAAGAAAGAAGAAAAATTTAAATATTTTATTTTAAGAGAATATGTTAAACTATCAGATGTTGATTCATTATTATATTTTCAACAATGTTTTATTCCAACTTATGAAAGAATTGCAATTCTTTATGAAATGATTGGCATACATTTAAATGCGCTTCCCTTTTCTGTAGCATGGTTTACTACAAGAAATAGTAAGTTTATAATTTTATTAAAATTATAGTATTGTTAGATAATTTAATATATCTCATTTTTAGATAAGGTTGAAAGTCTCAAATCATTAATTAAATATTTTAAGTATGAAAAAAAATATAAGATTCAAACTAATATTATTTGTTTAATATTTTATTCAAGCTAACATAAGATATTATGCAATTAGGTAATGATGATGTATTTAAAGAATTTATGATGATAAATTTAAAGAAGTTATTAATTCTTAAAATTTTTATTTTTTGGTTATATTTGATAAAGCTAAAAATACGATCTTTATTATTTTACAATCTAAATTTTATTATATAAATTTTCTGTATTTCAATACTTTTATTATTTTAAATAAATAGAATATTGATATTATTTTTACCTATTAAGGGTAGCTGCATGACATACGATGCCACAAAACCAGTATTATCATGTATAATATATAAATTCTAACTATTGATAATGAATTTTAATACTCATTAAACAATAAAATTTAGAAATATATGAGGAACAGCAACTTATTCATTCTTAAAATTTGATTCATAGCCAATACGCCTTCTAATAAAGAATAGTAAACATATAAAAGTTCTTTTAAAAGACAAATCTCAGGCTATATTCTTATTAACAAAAATCTAACTTACCAGTAAACTAAACTTATTAGCTATACTGATTTGTGGTGTCACTCAATACAGACCACCAATAAGCAATATATAGAATTTTTACATATATACAAGCTTAAAAATACTACCATTACGCCTGAACTACTTTTTATAAGAATGAGATAACTAAAGACGATAATAAATAAATATCTCATTTTTATATATATAATATGTGTTTTATGCCAATAATTCCATATCAGCGTTAAAGAGGTTAATGTGATTTGTAATAATGAAGAGACAAACGGCTAAATATATATGAAGATACAAGTAGACTATTGTAAGTGTATAATTTATTAGAGTTATTCGAGCTATTTGTATATAAAGACACAATCACATTTTTATTATTGATCACAAATTTTAATTTTCATAATACTTATTAGAAAATATTTCAATACATTATAATCTACTAGCTAGATATAAATCAAATGAATAGATTTTTGCAACATGGGAAATTAATTGAAGAAGAAAGGAAGTGGTTCAAAATATTAGCGATTTAAATTATCAGAAAATTTTGTTTTTCAAGGCATTAGTCACAAGTTAAAAAGTATTCTAAATTATAAAATGTTTCTTTAAAAATATATTATAATATTTTGTTAAAATTATATTAAATATATTTTGATATTGAAAACCCTATAAATCGTAATTACACTAATCGACAACTTTATTTAGAAGAATGTTCTTAATAGACTAAAGATAATACATCTGAAGCCAAAAATGATATAATGGATCAATTGCCGATTGATTATCCCTTAAACTGTCCGGTTTAGTGTACATATTTGTATGCTAAAATATTTTAAAGAAAAGTAAACTTAGAAAAAAATTTTTTTTATAAAAATTTTTATTCTAATTGGTTGTGATGACTCTTTAAGACCTGAGTCACATAGCAAACTCTATAGTTACAGCATGTAACACTCTATGCGACCTGAACAGGAGTATAAATTTGCACAATGGCTGAAAAGTATGCCATTTACCCATACTTTTGAGCCAGTTTATCTCCTTAATATTAACTTTAAAACCAATTATGTGGAATTGGTCTTAAAGAATTTTTGATAAATTTTAAATGTTATATTATATAAGGGACCCTATG